TTTATTCACTATTAATTAATGTAAATAAAATTCATCATCAATATGAACAAAAATTAAATGATTACAAAAAATTACTTAATGAAATTAATTCTTTATTCGATAACAATTTTAATCATGTTGAATAATTTCGATGAGTTATTGAAAAATTAAAAAAGATGATTCATGAAAAACAAAAACAATCGGATGAATCATTAAGTAAGAACGTTTTTAGTCTTTATTTAAATATTAAATAGTTTTGAGAGAAAAACTTAATACAGAGACAAAGACATAAATATTTAACTAGAAAGTTAAATGTATTGCTATTGTAGTAATAAAGTTGAGGATAAGTATTAGTACACTTGCGAATGTTACTGTGTTGTTTGTTTTATGTTCATTATACTTTGATGCGGTTAGTATAAAATCCACTACACTTCAACAATCAGGGGCGTAAGTCAGGTGTCGGAGCAGGGGGGGTGTAGGGGGGGGCGTAAGCCTAGTTTTTCTATTTTAATGGTCAAAAAAAGTGAATTTTCTAGAAGTAGGGGGGGCGCAAACCCCTTTTTCCTATTAGTTTTCGGAAGCAGGGGGGGGGGGTTATGCGCCCCACGCGCCCCCCCCTATTTACGCCACTGTATATTATCGAAAATATGCCATAGTTACGTGGTCATTTGTATCAAAAAATAAAATGTGCCATGTTACCGATAAAATTAATACATGTAAATAGATCAATTCTTACAGTCTAAGGAATTACATTTTATAACTTAGTTCTATTAATACTGGAACTTTATTTATTTTTACACATTATTAAACGAAAATATAAATATCACAACATATTATTTTCGCTGCGAACAATACTTACAACAATAATAATCAATAGAGTAATTTCATTTTCATAGTACATATTGACATAAAAATAATTAAGATTAATTTCACTATTGAAATTGTAAACAATGTACAATTATTGAGTGGTAATAATCGTTCTCATTTGTATTGTGCCTTGTATAGTTCGATTGACAGGTGTCACTTTGCTTGTTTTGTTTAAGTTTAAAACAATATTTTTCAGTTGTGGAATAGAAAAAAGTAATGCTATACTCAGTCCCATTTGAGATACGCTCACTGGAAAATATGAAATTCGAGCAAGTAATGGATGTTCTTCACCTCTTATCAGAGACATAATTATAAGAACTATCGAAGGTATTCCAAGAATAAGTAATAAATTAACAATAGATAAAATACGTTGAATAACAAGTAAATCTCGAGATTGTCGTTGTTTTATTATTAATGTTTGAATATTTCCTTGTTGATGAATAAATCTTGTTATATGCATATAAATAAATAATAAACAACAAAATGGACATACATAAACAATAGGCATTGCCGAAAGAACACTAGGAATATTCATGTATGATATATTACAAAAGTAGTCATTTGGTGAATATATTATACCATTCAAAGGTATAAGAACACATAGAAGAATAGATATTATTATTATTTCTATAATAGGTAATATTATATATAGTTTTACAGATTGAAACCATCGATTTTGAGAATAAACAATTCTCATAAAACGATAAAATGCCTAGAATTATTCAAAAAAAGAATATATGAATCTTTTAATTACTCTTATTTCAAATTACTTGATTTAGAAAATTCCAGTATAACATACCAAGCACTACAATAGCTAAATATCCTGAAAAAATACACCATGATGAATCAAAAGATTGATTGTACAAATCACCCAGAATTGATCGAATATTCATTGATATTAATATTGATGAATATATTAAAATTGTTAAATATATATGACCACAAAGAACAACAGTAATTTTGTCTTCACGTTTTACATGATTGTAATAGAGATGATATATAATAATAAGAAAAATTATACATGATATTAAACATGCAAATGTATTAAAACCAAGAGATACCGAACTAAGTATAAAACCATTGGTTTTAGTTTGATCATTAATCATAATAAAATTCTCTCTTGAATTTAATTAATAAAATGAGCAAATGTTTCTAAAAAAACAAATAAAATGTTCATAGGAAAAAATTTAATTCTGTTGAAAACATTATTAAATCTTAGTAGTTGGATTATCTCTTATTAATAGAAATTTGTTTTTTTGTCAGCATACATTAAAATTAAAATAATGAAAAATCTCAAACAGAAACAATTATTTGTCAAAACTTCATTAGTTTAAATAATTTTTAATTTAATACTGTCAAAAGAATTTCTGTCGAAACTTTATGAATATTAAGATATATTTTATTTTAGTCATTTGTATATCTCAAGAAAATAGAATACTTTTTACCTTTATAATTAATATAAAATGAGATTTCTACAGGTCATTATTCTATATTAGTGACATGTCAAGTTGTTTCAATATGATTTAAAATAAAATAGTGAATACATAGTCATATCTTCGAATGTATGAGGTGAGACTTACGATGATCTTTATGTTTTAACTGAAGAAATTCTTGAAATATTGTCAGCCTATGTAACCTTCTTTCTCATTCATGCAACAATTTACTATCGGCTATTACAGCTTTAAGGAAAGATTTATATTATTATTAACAAAGTCAAATAACGATCTCTTGTATTAATATATATATAAATATACAAAGAGAGATATTTATTTGAATTTGATATAATATTATACACATGTTATATTAAAAACATTAGTTTTCTATAATAAAATTCATAATAACAGAGATAAGGTTATAAATGTCTTGTCGAAGATTAATGCATTATACTTATTAAAAATTATTATATAAAGAAAGTACTCGTTTAAATACAAAAACTAAATAAAGGTCAGAAAAAGATTTGTTGAATATTTTATAATAATACAAATTGCATTAGCACTCTCTTAGATTAATTAAAAAAATGAATGGTCTATTTCTTCAACTTGACATACAGTAAGATGCCCAAAGTCTTTACCCTGTGCATAAATCAGCTTTCTGTTCATATATCTCCCGAAGGTTTTGAAGAGAGTTTTTGAGAACTGTCCACAAGTTAGGATAAGATCTCCATATATCTATGTAAATTTCAAAATCGATCGATGTGTGATTGTGTTGTATGTGTTACATACACCCACACTCTCAGTCTATTGATATTTGTATGTTGGAGATTTCTCTACATAGAATATTGAATAAATCATCGAAAACATTTTGTTAATTAAAAAAAAAGAATTGAGCAGTACAGAAAAGAAAGTTAAAGATTTTGAAGAATATGTGACAATTGGATTAAATACATTAAATAAATGTCGTATTATTATTTATAATATAAAAGACAATTTAATAAATGCAATAAAAGAAAAAAATTCTTGTATTAAAACAAACAATTAATTGTAATCATATTATTTCAATTATTTTAAAAAATAATTCATTGAAAATCAAGTCGTGAACCTGACTATATTTTAGTTTGTTGGTCAATTCAACAATTTAAATCTACTGGAGTTTTATTTATTCATATAATCCACTTAATCTACAAGTAATTTGTTTTGAAAGATTTCATTTAATCTAAATGATTCCTCACAAATAATTTTAACTGGTAATCATATATTTAAACAATATCGTTTAAATAATGGCCGATTGTATCTATATGAACAAGAAAAATTTCAAAAATTTTAATCAATAAATATAACTTGTTTTTGTTGAATTAATGAAAATCATATTTTATTAGGATTAGATTATGGATTTATTTATATTATTAATAAACCTGAACAAATTCTACAAAAATATAATCTATAAGTTAGAATCGATTTTATTTCATTAAAAAGTTTTCAGTCATATTGGAATTTTTTCTCATAATTTGTTTATTGATTAATAAATTCATTGAGTATAATATTATTATTGAGTAGAACAAAAATTGATGAATCAAATAATCATTTATATAATTCATTCCTAAATATAAAAAATTGGAGACAATTTATCAAAAATGCAATCAACTTATAAATTATCATCAAGATTAATATTAAATAAAAAATCTTTATCTACAACAAATCTTAATCAATATTCAAATTCAACATTTCATAATAATCAAAATCAAATTATTTGTCTATTACCATTTTCACGCGGTCTTTTTGTATCAACAGCGTAAAATAAGGGTGTGAGTGTAGGTATAGGTCTCGATGAAAAAAATAATTAAGCCCACACCCACCCCTGTAACCAATTATAATCATTTATATGAAATTACTTTTTCGAAAATAGTAATTTTATTAATAGTTACAAAATTTCACCAAAAAATCACGGAACTATTAAAGTATTTAATAATTAGAATTTATTTTCTTGGCTGGAAGAAAACATAGTTTTTGACATTGAAATCCTTCAAACTCGAATTCAAAATTTATGATTACGATTTTTTCTGAAGAGTGAGTGATATGTTAACCTGTCAGCCACATCCTCTCAAGATTTCAAGGCATTGAAATGGTCCGGCATACGTAGCTAGCTTGATTTGTATTCAGTGAGCTTTGACGCCAATTGCTAAGGTCCGTAACGGCAACGGTAGCCGGAAAACCTGAACTCAAAAATTATACTCATGATTTTCTTTAAAAATTGATGTAAGTTTCACAAAATTATTTTATTAACGATATAAATAGAAAAAAGAATTTTCTGTTTAATCAAAATTTGAATTTTGCAACAAAAAATATTGAAAGATAATTGAACTTTTAATAAACGTTGATGCTGAAAGATTTAAAAAAATTCGATTTATTTCTAATATTTGTAAATCATTATTATTTACTATTGGTATTGATCATTATCTTAAAATATGGAATTTACAAACAAAGTCAGTTTTAAATAAATAAATATATATTTCTAATAATAATTGTAACGCAAAATAAGCATGATGTATATAAATAATGAATATAAATGTTTTATTCAATAAATAAAAGAAAAATATAGCAATAAAAGTATTGGCTTAGTTTCTGTTGTTTCTTGTTTGAGCTTATGGCTCAGACTCTATTCCGTCTTCAAGTCTCCAAATACAATTCAGAATAATTCTTTAATCAACACATTGAGTCCAACCTTCGTCTCTAGTATACGTGTTAAGACTAACTATATCTAATACGCAAAGCAAGGGGAGGGGGTTATTGGAAAGATATCCATCTATGTTCTTGGCACAGTTATATATCGAATCCAGTAATGATGGTGATATATTTAACAATGATATACAAGGTGGTAACAAAAAGCAGTTGCAACACTATTTGGAAAATTTCTCGACAAAACTGAAACACTAAGTTTTTGGCAATGCGGTATTGATTTGGAATTGGGAGCATGGAAACAAAAACTATTTAGTCGCATACAATATGATACACAAATCGAACAAGAATCACCGTTAAAGATGAAACAGTATGCAAGTTACGATTGTACGACTTTAGGTGAATTATATTTCCAGGAAACAATTACATCAACCAAAAATATAAATAATCTCACTGATGAATTACCTGACATCATAACAACAACTACAAAATCAAACAAAAAAACAACCATTAACAAAAGCTAAACGACAAAAAAGAAAAAATATCATCCGGATTTTCAGAACAAAATAAAACGTTCGATTCACTACAAATATGATTATCAAAAGATACGTGCTCAATTAAGAGACGACAACATCTACCACACCCATCAAACAACAATCAATGAAGAGGGATAGGAGGTAATGATTCCATTTAGATCAAAACAAGAACGTGAACAAGCAACATCAATAATAAAAATAAATTATTTTTCAAAGTAACAGTATCTCGAGAGATGGGGATAAATAAATAAAAAGAAAAAAAAGAAACACAAAAAACAAAACAAACAAAATAAAAATTAATTATATATATATCGTGATATATCTATCTTTTCTCTTTACGTGTGACTAGTCTATATATGTGTATGTGCACGGTAGTGAAGGTGTGATTTTTCGATATTTGAAATAAACATATAGACGCTCGTTGAACACGAGCTAAGAATTCATTTTCCGCCTGCGAGGTTGCAGGCGGAGAGCAAATTAAAAAGTAGTTAGTTGTAGTAGACATTGTTCTGCATGTGGTGTAAGTATTTGTTGACGAGTAGTTACTTGGTGTTTACTCGGTTGTTGTGTTTGTTTGTGTAATCGATGTGCGCGGTAACAGTTACGCACAACTTTACGAAATTAATGATTAACGCGAGAAGTAGAATAATGCGAGTTGTTCGATTTTCACGTGTATATTGTGACGCCAACACGTCATGACTATTGACACCAAGATTACATTCGGTCATAACCTGTTGTTGGACACAGTTTCATTTTGCAGTGACACTCTGGATCACAAACACAGGGCTTGCATTTTAACTTAGCTTGACTAAAGAGAAAAACATTGACTGTTTGTACAAAAAAACAGCAAAGAGAATAAATATCGAGGGGGAAACAACAGAGACTTCATGCATGAAGTCTCATGAAGTCTTGAAGTCTCTTGAAATCTTATGAAGTCTCTAGAAGTCTTTGAAATTTCATGAAGTCTTAAGAAATCTTTGAAGTCTTATGAAATCTCACGAAGTCTCATGAAATCTTACGAAGTCTCAGGAAGTCTCATGAAATCTCACGAAATCTTGCGAAGTCTTGCGAAGTCTCACGAAGTCTTGCGAAGTCTCATGAAGTCTTGCGAAGTCTCATGAAATCTTGTGAAGTCTCATGATGTCTTCTAGAATTTCTAGGGATGCATATATTTCACGAGAAAATCTGAGAGGGAAACAACACAGACTTCATGCATGAAGTCTCATGAAGTCTTGAAAGTCTTTTGAACTTTTAGAAATCTTTCGAACTTTTGGAAGTCTTCTGGACTTTTGGAAATCTTTTGAACTTTTAGAAGTCTTTTGAACTTTTGGAAATCTATCGAAGTCTTTAGAAATCTTTTGAAGTCTTTAGAAATCTCTTAAAGTCTTTGAGATCTCTTGAAGTCTGTGAAGTTCATTGAAGTCTCTTAAAGTCTCTTGTAGTCTGTTGAAGTCTGTTGAAGTCTGTTGAAGTCTGTCGAAGTCTTCTGAATTCTTTAAAATCTTTTAAAGTCTATCGAAGTCTTCTGAAATCTTTGGAAGTCTTTGGAAGTCTTTTGAAAAATTGAAGTCTCGCTTGTTGAAGTCTCGCTTGTTGAAGTCTCTTGAAGTCTTTCGAAGTCTTTGAAGTCTTGAAGTCTTGAAGTCCGCTGTTTCCCCCTTGATAAAATATTAAAAGTAGTAGACTTGACATCAGCAGTACGAAGAATAAAACAAAGTGGCAAAGAAAAATGAAATTATGGAGTGAAATGTAGATTGCGCTCACACGTACATCATGAATATGAATGTGATATGTGAAGAGTCAGAATACTATTAGTACAGATAAAAGATAAATACCATTTGTGTTTTATTTTCGCTATGATCAGATGATAATAAAAAAAGAAATATTATATCTTGAGGGTGTGGGTCTCGATGAGAAGAGTAATTAAGCTCACACCCACACCCTCAAGATATTCTCCAATAATATTTTAGGTACGTTTGAAATTGAGATACATTTCAAATGACGTGCAAGCATTGGAAAGATGAGACGAAACAACTTTAATGCTGTTTTTTTTGCGGTGTTCGAGCCATTCTTGTCATTAGACTGGCTTCATCCAGTTCGAGATCTTCATCGATTTGTTTCAAATCTCGACCATCCCCCAATAAAACCAGTTTTTGTACTAATCAGACATATAAGTTCTTGAATCCTTTCTAATACATCGATATTCCGACGAGCTGAAAACTAAACACAATATGATCCAAAAAGGTTTAATTTTACCAAAGAAAAATTTTCATGTCTAACGTTTCAAGAGTCTGTTAATGAGACATATGTAAGTTATTTTCAACGTTAGAATCGACCAATAATCGAAAAAACGTGTTTATTACTGATATTTTTTTCAAAAGTCTCTTAATCTATCGAAAACTATATTAAATCAAGCAAAATGCTTGGGTTTATTTTCATTGAAATTAAATACGCTGGTATTCAAGATATCGCTGGACTTTCCGCTTATTTTATTTTAGTCTACAAGTGAGAAAATTCAATATTAAACTTAAATATGATAGATTTTGATATATTACATTATTTATCGGAACTTGCTACTTATGAAGATACAACAGAATTACGTCTTCGTTAACAATTAGCAATATCAATTATCTATTCAATGTTCCTGATGGATATAACTAGATATGTTGTTTTTTTTTGAATAAAATACTTGTAATTCATAAACTGAAATTATACCTCACCAAAAGCGATACTTGAGGACGACTATTCTGTTCCTAACTTCATGTATGTATCTTCTTCATCAGTCAAAGAATATAATTCAATACTTACATATACTGGTTGATTTAAGTTTTTCACGTATATACAGTCGCTTCAATTCACGGTATTCGAGAGAACCTTCGATTGATGGACATATAAGAAGCGTAGTTTTTCTTGGAGAATCTAGATTATTTGGTGATGTTGATAATGATGAGTTGGCTAATCTGAAAACATTCGAGATGCTACCAACTTGTAAACGACTAAATTAAATCCGAAAAAATACAACTGTTCATATAAATAAATACGTCAGTATTAAAATTACTTCAGTGGACTTGATATGTTCTCTCGATCTTGAGAGTGAGCGGATGTGGGTGTAAAAGAAGTAGGACTTCACCACACCCACACCCTTCTTACTGTAGTAATTATACTTTTCTCGAAATCAGTAACTATTCTGTTTGGACTAAATTTCATGTTCATTTTTTTACTGTTCGTTTGAGTGCTTAAAATAACAGCGTATATGTATATGTCTTTCTATCGTTTAAAAGTGCATATAGAACTGGTGATGCTAAAAGTAAGTAAGAAAAGAATTAAAGAAAGAATAAGTCATTCAATTACATTACAGAGAGAAAGAATGAATCATCTAATGAAGAAAAAAAATAGATGTATTCTTACCTTCATAATTATTTACATATCTTTACTGAATAATTAATAATTGTTTATAACATCTAGGAACGATTGAGAACGCTCCATCAAGACATATTAAAGGTGAACTAAATAATTTTCGTAGTTGTAATGGACTCGCAAAAGTAATAATTCTTTTCGTTCGATTCGAATATAAACGATCATAGAAATAAATTTTTCATCCGATGATGTCAATGAGAAGTTATTGTAGCGCTATGAATTATAGAACTTTAATATTATTTAGTATTTTCTAGGCTGAGAAGATACGGTCTAGAAACGAGAATTATCTATTAAATTATCATGAATAGTTATTATTAAATTAGACAAAACATTTCCATTGTTGCTTAAAACAAATGTAAGTATTTTAAACTTTTCTCATTAATATATTATTCAGCGCTTTTGAAGGATATTTCCTATCTATTTTTTTATGATATTTACGCTATTCTAACATCATTCTTGTATTTAGTAAAGCGTCTTTTTTTACTATAGAAATCATTTTCAAAATTTTTATCGAATAGAATGCCACTATCAACTACAAATTCAAGCATTACCGCAATAGAATTAAGTAAACCTGATATAGCTATTAGTTATATAGGTCGTTTTTGGCTTTTTCTTATACCAACTACTTTATAAAATTGTGTGTTCTTTGTTTCTTCTTTTTCATCTCCTATCTCATCGAACTCTTCGTCATGCATTACATAATTATGTAATAATAGTTCTCTTATTCATGTGTCTTATATGGGAAACGACAGTTGGTCCTGCCACGATGCATGTTTATTTATTCAATATAGTGTGGTCACAAACTCCAACATTTTGTATGATTTGGAAGTTTCTTGATTCATGTATTTATACATCAATAGCCAAATTGGTAGCATGGGCTTCAATTGAACGACATATTATTATATTTCATAACAAATGGGTATCAACAAAAATAAAACGTCTTTTGTTCCACTATATTCCATTATTACTAATTGTTATGTGTGATATAATTTGTTATGCAATAATAACTGCAATGAATGATTGCAATAGAAAATTCTCTTATACAAAACCATTCTGTGATTATTCTAGTTGTATGCATAATACTGTATCATTTCTGCATTTTGAATCTTTTACTGGTGCAGTTATACCATCTTTGATTATTGCATTTGGTAGCTTTTTTCTTGTCTTACGTGCCATTTGTCAGAAACGTCGTTTTCATCGACAAGTTCATTGGCGAAAACATCGTAAAATGACAATTCAACTAATAGCTATTACAACTCTTTTCTATATTTTATATTTACCACCAGTCATTTTATCAACTGCTAAGCTACTTGGAGTTCCATCTTATGTGGGATCTGATTATAGTCTTTATGCAGATTTCTTCAAAAAACTTATTATACTTTTATTGTCATTTACATGCCTTGGTACATTATCCAAAATTTAAAGTCGAATAAAAACAATATTTCGATGTTGTTATCAACGACAAAGACGCGTTAATATTCCTTATGACACATATATGAAAACTACAAAGAATAATGGAACACTTCAATGGAAAAATAGTATTCATAAGACATAATTGTATTGTTCGTATTTGTCGTAAAAATAAATTCAATGTTGTATTCATTTAGTCACACAGATTGTATTTAGGTATTGTCATAAATAAAGTACAGTTAAATGATTGAATCAATGCAAATGTGTAAATTCATCTTGAGTGTGTTTGAATGTGGGTATTCCATATCATTCACACCCACACCCACTAATTACAAGCATATAGTTAATCTTAAAGATTTATTTTTTCAATTTATTTAAGCAAAAATCATGTGAGCATATAAAATATTTAGAAATACATGCGCACAAAAAGCTTTAGAATCTAACTAAAATTGAGTATATTGATATCAACTATTTGCCGATGATCATAATTGTAAAACAACACCTAAACGCCAGCTTTTTCCAATCTTAATAATTCTGCTTGTTGATCGACATAAATCTAGAAATATAATACAAAATAATTTGAAATAGAAATACTTCTGATATTAACATACTTTATCGAATGCTTCTAATAATTGATCGATTCTGTTGGAAAAATTATCTATTGAATCAACATACTGTGAACGCATTCGACAATCTCTTTCTTCTTGAAGTTCTGATTGATTTAATTTTTTCAGACCTAAAATATTAATAGACACCTATGTTCTACTAAGATACATCAATCTTGAGAGTGAGTGCACAAGTCATACTCTTCTCTACTCGTGAAAAAAATAATTATGAAAATGAGTGACACACAAGCGAAGCTCTAAAGTCATTTAATCTAATTGACTTGAATAAATCAAACAAATCTACGCACCTGTCCATCGTAAAAATTTCTTTAGCATAAATGATAACATAATTTGATCTTCCTTTTGATTCTGTTTTGCATGATGAAAGCCATTATTAATTATTGAAAGAAACATATTGAAACAAACAAAAACAACTAGAAATATAAATAAAGTAAAACAGAGTGGACCAAGAAAAGCATCAGCTCCCATTATTTGTGATGCACCACTTTTGACTAATGTCATTTTAAAAAGCATTTGAGCAGTATTTAATAAACTTGAACAGGTTGAAAGTTTTGATACAAATAATAGATAAAATAAGCTAAGAAATGATATAAATACAATTGCAAACATTACTGAAAATGAAATCAGTTCCTTTGCACAATATTTTAATGTGTCGGCGAATAAAGATATTCGTTGATTAAAACGAAATAATTGAATAAATTTAATCGTACTAAAAAAACAACAATAACCAAGAAGAAATGTTAAAATATCATTAACATAAACTGCAAGTTGTAAATTGATATAAATATAACCATTTGTTTGTTCAAATAAATGACTTATACGATTTGTTTCTTGAAAACGCCAAAAATAAACTCCAATACTTCCCAATGAACAACCAATGATACCTAATTGTATTATTGACCAAAATTGATGAAAATATTTTAATCTTAATTCAAATAATAATCGAATTTCAATTATCATAAAATAAATAATAAAAAATATGTAGAAAATTGTACAAACTAATTGTAATATTGATGTAAATGCTAAATTTAAAAAACAAAAATTTATTTGTCTTTAGAAATAAAAAGTAAAGAGTGAATTACTGTAGAAATTTATTGGTTCGAAATGGGCTGTTGTATAAATACCACCTGTTGGTAAAAATTCAGCAAGTAAAGTAACTGCAGTTAATAATTGGACACTTGGATTATATAATGTTAGTTGAATAAAAACAGCTCTTGATTTCTCATCGATCCAATCTAATTGATGAAGTGTAGATAAATTTGTTTTCATATCAGATAAACGACCACGAAATTCATATACATAGCCACCTCCTCTATATGTTTCAAATTCACCTGCATATGTATATGTATCTAATTCATCACTCGTAGAATAGTTAAATGCTTTTATAATCGTTGAACTATATACTCCATCTTCTATTGTTTGATTTGTCCATCCTGGTTGAAATAATTGTGTTTCTTCATTAGAAAAACTATAACTATCTTCACATATTGAAATAATACGTTGGTCGAAGCATAATTCTGATTTAACACGTAATTGTCTCATTGTTGCCCAACCAATTAATCGACTGGATTTATCATTTAAAAATCCATTTAAATATTGTGGAATATCTCCATTATACCATTGTTGTGCACGAATATTTGAAACAAAACTATTTTCTAACCAATACCAATATTCATCGATTGTATTGATCTAGAAAAACAAAATTCATCTCATTACAAGAAAAGAAGAACAAACTTTAGTATAATCAGCAGTAGTTTGTCTTTCATTGAGAAAATAAGCTCGTAAATGGTTGACTTGAAAAAAACTATTTTGTTCACGACTTGAATAAGTTATTAAAAAAACTAATGTTGCAAATATAAAATAAATCAGAAATTCTCGAATAATTGCCCACATTTGAATTTCTTTTAAACGTTGATCACGAGCATAAATAATTTCATTTTCATTAAGACGATTAATACTTTTTCGAGATTGAGAAGAAAATATTGAGCGATACTATAAATGGAAAATTAATTTTTCTATTGGATTGTAAAAGAAAACAAACCTCAAGTGAATGAAGATACTCCTCATCATTAGATATATTAAATTCATCATCTTCATTTATATATTCACTTGTTTCTTTCTCATCTTTTGAATTTCGACAAAAACATATAAAGAATATAGCCAAACATATAATCTTCAATGAGAAAATATTTCAAAAATATAGATTAAAGGTAAGTAGAAAGTATACTTTAATAGGTTGAGTAAAAATAACCGATGAGAAAAAACCAGTAAGAACAGATGTTAACCATTGTTGAGTTTTTACATCACCAAATTCAATTCCTCGAACAATGATAAAAAATATTGAAACAGCAATAATTATCATTGAAAGACCATACGCAATAAATAAACACCACCAAGGAAATGTTATCGAAGATTGTTTTTTCTTAGCTGCATGGACATTTGTCGAACTACTACAATTAAGAATGTGAGTGTCGATGAATGTATTTAGAAATATATATACGAACGTTTTTCGAAATGGTTTCATCTTATATAATGCTTCACGTAATCGTGAAACTTGTTGACGAGGTTGAATACGTCGAAAGAATTGAACAATTAAGAGACTTGGAATTAATGTAAGTAATTCGACCATTATACCAATTCCAATCTTAAATATAAAAAGATATTTTCATTAATCAGAAATTGGACATTTTAGAGGCGTAAGGATGTGAGTGTAGTCTATATTTTTCTCTATAAAAATCAATATATACCTGTTGTGGTGCTATGTAAAAAGGGCCAATTGATAAAGCACCACTATGTGTTTCACTTGATGCATTCGCTTCGTTTGATAAATCATAATACATTATATTTATTAACATTGAAGTAAAAAATAAAACAAAACAACAAGTACATCGTTGAACTCGTGTAAATTTATTCGATGGTGGACGAGAAAATATTGAAAACCATAAATGACCATCGGAAACACTATGATATGCTTTTTTTGATAATACATATGAAAAGTCTTGTTTTTCCGCTTCACTAGCAATTGGTAGAGTTCTTTCAATCTAAATTGAAGGCAAAAATAAGAAATAGTATGTTTTCAATTACACGACTTACTCGTCCATCATCTTTTTCAACTGCAAGCCATTGCTGAGAAATAAAATAAAATTTATCCAAAGTTTGTAAATCTCGAACAATAATATATTTTAAATACCATGATGCTGAAGAACCTTCACCTGAATTATCATGCCAAATACGAATATAATTTAACAATCCCAATGATCTAAATATTAATCTTTTATAAAATCTTTGACAAAATAATAATTTTACTTTGGAACAGCAATAATAAAAGAATTAATTCCACCACGTTGAAAAATCTTTCGATGAGGATCAGAAAATAATCGAATTTGTGTTTGATCATTATCACCCGATAAAACAAAATAAACCTTACAGGAAGAAAAAAAGAAGTTTCATTAAGGTATTTTCTTTGTACTATATTACTTTTGATTCTGTTCCTGCATTTGTTCTTTGACCAGTAAAAACAAGAATTTGATAATAATAATGATCAGATTTATTATTATCAGCTAATGGGGTTACTGCCAACTAAAACAAAAGTAGAAATTCTGATTTTATGAAATATATAAAACAATATGTTTTAGTTTACTTTTTCAAAATCTTTCTTATCTTTAAAACGTGCATAAATTATTAAAATAATATAAATTACTGAAGTAAATATCATTGTTAAATAAACTGTTTTATTTTTCATAAAATCAGCATTTGCAAAAACATAACTCCAATTAATTGGTGCAGGTAAAACAATAAAACCACCAGCAAATGTTGTCAAATGAGTTGAAAGACATTCAGTTTCATATAAATTTGTCAATGATCCAACTGTTAATCCATCTGATTTCCAGTTATTACTTTCATCAAGATAATAACAACCTGATGTGTATATAAGAAGTTCATAATTTGATGTAAAATCATATGGTTCATCGGTAATTGGTAAAGATGTATTTATTGAAGAATTATTTAAACAATAATTATTCATTTCAGTTGAATTCAATTCTCTTATTCCAAATATTAATGATTGATGAGTAGGTGTTTGTTGATTATCGATAAAATATCGATATATATCATCATTGGTTAGATCTATAATTACAAAAAAATTCATATGAATGTTCAAGAAAAGAAACATACTGAAAGGACAAAATAGTGTCCATCCATCAACAAGATGAATTGAACTATTTAATTGTGGTGTTTGATCAAATTTATAAATAAATAAATAAGCAAGACTTCGATTTAAAGAATGAATTTCAAAATGAATTGAAATTGGAAGAGAACTTGTTATATTAATATAATGGTAGTTGAATAATAAATTATTAATCGTTGAATTAATTGATGTAACATTTTGTAAATACATTGATGGAATTACTAGATTTGGATCACGAGGAATAATCAATTGGATTGGATTATTTTGATGAGCTTCAAAAGAAACTTCATTTCCATTTTGATCAATAATTGAAAGTGAAATTGATCTTGAAAGATTTGTATTTTGAAAATTTCCATATGAAGCAAGTGGATCTACTCTTGACTGAATAAAACAAAAAATAATTTAATAAAAATAATTCAAACTGCAGAAAATTACTCGAAGTGAAATTGAAGAATTAGACGTTGTATTTAAAATAAAATCTGATGGAATACTAAACTGAGCATTTTCAACTTGTTTCACAAGTCTATCTTTGAGTGATTGAATTGATATAGTTTCTAATGATACAAACGATTGAGATGTATTCATTAGTGAACTTTGACCGACGTTTAAATGAATATTTAATGAAGCAGTCAATAATGATATCATTTGTGTTACTTGACTATTAATTTGATTTGCTAATCGTTTTTGATAATAAATATTTCGATTTTTTTCAATTGTTTCAGCAGAAAAATCATTTCCATCAGAAAATAAATCTTCAAAAAAACAAAATTCAAATTCAATAATAATTAATCATTTAAAAGATCTTACTTAAATTTGACCATGCAGATTCAAGATCAGTATCATAATCAGTAGATATGGCATTTGCTCGAGAATAATCCAAATCAAGTACCTCTGTTCGTCCTTGCAATCGCCCATTCACACCCTACAATTATCAGGATTAATAATTGAAGAAAAAAAA